AATTCAGTGAAAACCAATGACATTTTAGAGCGTTTCCAATGTGAATTGTAGCATTGGAGTTCTCAAACTATATATATAACTATTCATTAATCAAAATAATACAAGACAAGTTGTACAAGTTAGAAAAATGAAATAAAAACATTTTAAGAACAATACAACAAAACTAGAGTTAAACAAGAACTGAAATTAGACCGCACGAATCCTAATTTTCCGATAAAGCTTCAAAATACGAACTCTGATCAGTCACGACGCTTTGAGCATAAGAAAACTTTTCTGCTTGAATTCAGCAAAAGAACAACGACGCTCCCAATGAGAATTCTAACATTGGGGTTCTTAATATTAATAGTTAATTATGAGAATCTCAATTTTACGGAAAATTCAATCAAAAATATTTCGTAGAGATATTTCGGGTTGAATTTCTGTAAAGTTAAGATACTCATAATTAAGTAATAATAAATAGTTATGCATACATACATATTACATTGAGAATCTTCAATGCTATAACCTCCCATTGTAGATACTCATATTATATGAATCCAACAAAATCGTAAAAAAAATATAGATCAAAATCTAAAAGCAATGAGTAACCGAACTCAACACTACCAAAACCAAAAAGAAAAACAGGTTGAAAGATAACCGCTTACAATACATTGCACCGTCGAAACTTGCACAAAAAACCGATTAAAACACAACCACTAAAGAAAACTAAGATGAAAAAGCTCCAACGCTAGGATGATGCAATCTACACATATTGCGACCAAGAACTGAGCTATCTAAAAGACCAAGAGGATAACCAAAGGGACTTGCTCATGCTCAGCCTCTGAGAACCAGAGGTCTAACCGACTGAAACTCAGTTCCGAGCACACAAACAAACAAAATCTTAGCACTAAGAGCATATTCACAAGATGAGACTCAAAATCAAACTTTCACGATGGATTCACCATAACGTAAAAGAGAAAATGCTACTGTTGTTAGGTTTTAAGTTTATGCTTTGTTGATATAGTATTACACTTCAAATGTTTTACAATATAGAAGAGGATTTAGGTTTATGCTTTGTTTATATAATATTTTTTATATCCAAAAATTTAAGACAAAGAATATCCGAAAACAAAAATTAAGAGATAAATCAACCATTTGGATATCTATCTAGTAAAGATTGTATGTTGATCTAAGTTGTTTTAAACTCGAGTAACTTTACTTAACAAATTGATTGTTTAAAGTGTCTTACTCTTGTTATAGTTTCAAATTAGCTTCATTGTTACCATTAGAGAATCTCTAAAATCGATTTCTCTATTTTAAATAAAAATATAGCAGAAAATTACTTTTTCTCTATATTTAACGATGAAAATAGCATATCGCTATATTTTTCTCTATAAATAGAGAAATTCTATTATACATACTTACGTTATAGCAAATCCACATCTACAATAGAGTTTTTTTAGGTCTTAGTTGTTTGTTCTAGACCTAAATCTTAATTTTAGCCAAAAATAAAATGAAATAAAATAAAGTATCTTAAGTAATTAAATGTTTGGCAACTAGACACGTTTACAAACCCATAAATTGTTGTCCTCTAATGTTCTCTGTTGTACACCTATTAATTTGGTAACTATTTTATACTTCCTTGTTTACGTTTGATAAAAAATATTATGATTTCATGGACTTTTTTAAAGTTTGCGTTCGGACTTTGTTAGGAGACTCTGGTCGGTTGTTATGGTGGGATCCAAAACTCTAACTTGCAAGATTTTCTGATTCCTTAAAAGAAGGTAATTTCTAAATTATATGTCACTCGTTTTTGTCGTTTGTTAACTCATGTAATCAATCCAAAACTATATAATTCTAGACATTACAAATATGCATTCTCTAACATAACTTAATTAACATGATAAAATATTCAGTTGACTCAGCACTCAAAGTCTATTTGAGTAGTTTATATATCGTTCACACAGGCAAAAAACATATAATGAATTGTTCATCGTGCTGCCCACCAACTACTTTGTTGCCGCCCAAAATCTGAAACTTTCAAATGGAGCAAAAGTATGGATATATATGTGTCAAAGAAGTGTTTTTGGAATATATTTTCAATAGCATAATCATAAAGCAGTACTGGGAATCTTTTACAACATTATATGTAAAATAATTTGACATCCTTTTAATTGTTTAAAACTTAAAATACGCGGGAAGTCAATATTCCACATAACGTCACCATGGGAATCTACACATTTTAGTTACTGACCCTATGTATTGGCGTTTCTTTCTCCAATGTCATTTTTTAAAGATTTAGGAGACAACAATTAGTTTTAAGTTTAAACATCGATTCAAAAGTGATTACTTGATAATTTAAAAAGAAGTGATTGTGTGAATAATATGAACTTTAAAAGGTTAAAACAATGCTGACAAAACATAAAAATAAAAGGTTAAAACAATCTGATAGTTCTACATTGATAAATATAGGTCAGGATGATGAACTAGCATTGTCAGATTTCATATATATTTTCTTGGAACGTGAAAATGCAGAAAGAAAAGTGATAGAACGAAAATAATTATGGACCACTGACCGTCAAGTCACTTCCAAGTTCCAAATGCGCAAGTGAGGTATTTTTCTTTGAAAAAAATATTTTGAGAGACATTTTATCATAAGTTCATAACACAATGCTTAGAATGAGTGATGCATATAAAAAACGCAGACCAAACAGAATACAGAACAAAGAAGAATAAATGCAGATTAAACAAAACAAATACAGATCAATATAATTTAATAAATTAATGTATTTAAATAAATGTTAAAAAAAGTTAATGAAAATTAAATATCTAAAAATACAATTTTTTAAAACAATAAATATCATGTTGACAAAAATAACAAATAATATCATTGTTTAATAATGAAATTTATAGTTGTATGAAAATTCATCACAACTATAAAATTAATATTGTCGATTTTGATATTTGTTATTGTATTAGCAAAATATTCAATTAACATAAATGTGTATAACATGTTTTACATAAAATTGTATTAAATTTTGAAATATCTAAATTAAGTATATATGTGTTTATAAAATTTTAAAAAATTTACTATATATATATATATATATATATTAAAAGTACATCATTTCTCTATTTAATAAAACATATCTTAAAATTTTATATAAAACAAAAAATATACTTACTTTTAAAAAAGATTTTTGCTTATGAAAAAATAAATAAACCAATTAAAATCGAACCAAACCAATAGAGAAAGTAGTTTAGATTTGTTAATACTAAATAATCCAAATATATGTAGTTTTTTATAAACCGTAGTATATGGATATGATTTCGGTATATAACCCAATCCAACCGAATAAACAAAAGAAACCAAAGAATTTAAATATTTTTTATATACTTATATGTAAATTTATAATATAATTAAAAATATATACTAATTGGTCTTACTAATATTATTTTCCTAATTAAAACATTGTTTATCTTATATTCATCGAATCAAATAATTTCTATTTTGTTTTAAGTTAAAGAGGTTATGTTGTTTCTGTTATATTCATCAAATAAAATAAAACATGAGTTTTATGGGAAAAAACTTTTGCTAAAATATAATTATTTAATCATATTACTATTTTTTATTTTATTTAGTAGTAAAACATAAAATATTATAATCAAAAGTTAGAATAATAAATATATATTTATGTTTTAATAAACTGATATATAATCATATAAACTAAAATGTTATAAAAGATAAATATAATTGAACATGCCTAAACAAGACTATACAAAACAAATTTAACTTTTTTGTTAAATAAATTTACTAAATTATCATATTTTTAAATGATATATCTTAACTGAAAATATAAGCTCTTAAATACAAATGATAAATTTTAAATTACCGAACAACATATATGAATGCGTTAAACTAAGTTATATAGAATATTATAAAATAAAAACTTTATAAACAAGTATTAGCTATTTTAGTTATATTACTTATTTATCAAGAGTAAAAATAAAATGAACTATAGTATCTAAAATAAAATAGATGTACAAAGGTGGATTGTTTATTAATAAAAAAAAAATTTCCTTCATTGGTACTCTATATAAATCCCGATACTTTTTCATGATTTTTTAGATTATAGAGAAAATAATATAAATGTAAAACACAAATATTTTATATACTATTTTTATTACTAAATTGTAGATAATTATTGTATGAAACATCAATCCTTGTTCATCCTGTAGTACACGTTGGATTCTAGCAGCTCTTTCGATTGGATCATCGACATTGGTGTAACGAATTGTGACATCACATAAGCCCGTCATCACTCTTGTTGGGATGTTAGGAGGAGGAGGGAAGTAACACAGCGTTAGGTTACGCTTCAAGGGGGTTTTCATAGCAGGTGTGTGGAGTTTAGAAGAGACCTTAGGCTCCTCTACCGGTAGACGGGATGGTCACACTCTGATGTTACTTGACGTTCCCTCCATTGAAGACGTGGGACGTTATTCATTGGCGTTCTTGAGTGTTGGTGATGTTGTGAGGTTCGATCTTTGGGAGGTTGTGTGGATTTTGAGCGCTGAATTTGTCTTGTAGAGGCTTTATCAAGTTATGTTCTCTATCTAAAAATTATTTTATCATAAATTTTGGAATCTATATGTGTATACACATATTAATGTTTATAAAATGCTCTTTATAATCATAATTCCATTTATCAGTATTACTTTTTCAAAAATATTTTCCAGAAGATATTTCCTATTTATTTTCATGCATTGAGTGTAAACTTTGTTTTCGAAATTTGATAGATTTTATTTGTACGTTCCAGTTGGGGTTAGTACGTAAGCTAAAATACAATGATTAAAAATCAAAACTTTATTTACACAATAGTTTTTAAGAAAGGGTTTTTTTAAAAAAAAAAATTTATATTTTATGAAACTATACCAAAAAAATCAGAATTTAGAATTATTTGATTTAAGAAGGAAAAATAGGAAAATTTATGAGATTCTTAAGAAATTAAAATATGACACATCGTGAGCTCAGCTGTGTGACAAACGAAGACGACAGAGAGATGTAATAAATATATATTTACAATATAATTTCAAATTTCTAGGTGTCAGGATTCACATAATGATCCATCACAATACAAAGGTAAAAGCAAGACCCATCACTAATCTGAGACTCTGTTGATCCTGCAACAAGATTTCTCTGTTTTGGCATCATCACTATCACCACTTTAAACTTAGTTTTAAAACTAATTTTTCAAAAGAAACTAAAGTTCCTGCGATCTAATTTTCCCTTTTCTTTCTTATTACAAAGAAAAAACTAATCGCTAATCTTCTCCCTCTGTTCCTTTATTGAAGTTAGGCTATCGACTGATTTCTCCGACATTGAATCGCTTGACATTCTTGAAAACAAATAAGAATCTACAAAAAAAAAACATAACTGGATTTTGTTAATTATCATATTTTCATAATTAACCTTCAACTGAATCAATTCATCAATACGCAGAACTCATAATTTACCTTCAGAAGAAGTACTGAGCTTCTCTTGTGAAGAAGATTCACTGATGGATCGCGATAACATAGAAGATTCTGGAATCAAAGAGAAACCCATTAAGATTCCCGAAAAATTCAAATCAAATCGATGAAAAGACTGTTCTTGCTTACCTCTCGATCCGTGGAAAGATTTCTTGCAATGGAGAATCGCACTTTGAATCCCATCTTGTTGCACTTGTAAAGACTCGTCGAGTCTCTTCACCGGAGACATGGCTCCGATAGCCGCAGACGCCGACCGGCTCTTCCCAAGCTGTCTCCTCACACTCCGAGTAATATTATTACTCCTCTGTTTCTCTCTCGCCGCCGGTGAAGACGCCGGAGAAGTGGATACACTGTTGTTGATGCTCTGTTTCTTGGTTGTTTTATTGTACAAAGGCTTTATGAGATCAAAGAATCTCTTTGAGGAGGAAGAAACAGAGTCCTCACACCTTGTTGTCTCGTCTTCGATTCTGAACCTTACGTTGAGACTTCTGCTGTTGGGTTCTTTCTTCTCTGTCGTCGGCGACTTCTTGAAGGAGAAAGCACGGAGCTTTTGACTGGGTTTTAGGAGAGTGGTGGGAGATTGAGGTTTCGAAGTGGCTTCGAGGAAAGGAAGGACTTTGCTTTTGGAGACAGAGGAGAACGTGTTCTGTTTTTCTTCAGGGGTTTTGTTTTTCTTTAAGGAGAAGTCGGAGAGAGAGATCTCGAGCTCGAAGAAGGAATCATCTCCTTCGCAGAGGTCAAGTTCGGGATCTCCCAATGCGGTGGAGGATTCGACGGCGGATTCTGAGATTCTGATTTCACGGCGGAGTTTATTGCCGTTAGTGTTATTCGTTAGCCAGTATTTCACAAAGCTAAGAGCATCCATTTAGAGAGAGAGAGTCAAGGGAGAGAGAGAGAGTATGAAGTTGGCTTTGTCAACGGGAATGGCTGGCTTAAGTGAGGTTTTAAAGGAAGAAGAAAGAGAAGGTGAGCTTTTCGAAATGGTTTTTATCTTTTTTGTAAAGGAAGATAAAAAAAGATTAATGAAAATAACATTTGTGATGAAAAAGAATTTAAAAACAGATTACCCGATTATTATTTGTATTAGTATTATTTTTAATTGGCTTTCTCGCTACTTTTTGTTACCGCTCCGTTCTTTTTTTCCTTTTTCTTTTTCTTTTGCTTTAGTTTTCTTTTTTTCTTCACGCCACGGCTAAACATTTGTTCTTTCTGTTGTCTTCATTTAACACACATGATAATAGCTTTTGTAAGCTAAACTACTTTTTGCTAAGGTAACAATATTAACATCTCAAACAAACGAATCGGATTTGGAAAGGAAAAATATGAAAACAAAAAGCCTAATATTGAAAACTTGGCTAATATGATGGACAAAAGTACATTAACTATTAGATAAAAAAATTAAAAGAAAAATGAAACCATACAAAATTCATTTCATATTCAAGAATGAAACACGTAAAAAAAAAAAAATTCAAGAGAGAAACAAGCCTCAATCATATTTTGCATCAAAGCCTTAAATATAATTATTTTGGATCCGACTCATCCGTATTCATGTTTTTTTTTTCTTATTTTTTAACACATACTCATTAAATAAATGAAGCCGCATACCCAAGGTAACCCTAAAGGGCAAGTTAAACAACAGACGCAGAAAGGACAAGTTTAGCTAATTTATTGGCTTCCACATTGGAAGACCGAAAGACATGATAGAAAGTGATCTCGACGGAAATAGAGGAGATTTGTTGAATATCTTTGATGATACCAAAGATCTCCTTGATCTACATGTGATTTTTGATTGCTCGTATGAACGTTACGTTGTCAGAGAACATCGAGATCTTAGGAATCTCTAAGTTCACTGCGGAGATGAGAGAGAATCTGAGGGTGAGTGCCTCTACAACCAGTGGAGACCCGATTGGATCGTGTATTGCTGATCCTTGATGGAGGTTGATTCCTACTAGATCCGTGATAATCCATGCGATCCCTGCTCTTTAAGTGCTTCGATCGAACGCAGCATCGGATTTACATATCACTCCCAAGGTTGTACCCAAAACTGGATCCTGACACTACAAGAAAACACGTCCTTAACGACTACAGAATTGGTAGGTCATTAGTCGTAATACGACCATTACGACCAAGTAACATCGAAAAGCGATTAGTCGTTATACGCTGGTCCTAACTCACTGTTAAACGCACATTGGTCGTAATGTTACGACTACAGAGATTGGTCGTACATTAGTCGTAATATTACGACTAAGGAGTTGGTTGTAAATTAGACATAGAGCGTGAATTCGTAAGTGTGACGTAAAATAGTTAGTCGTACATTAGTCGTTACATGTTTGGTCATAAACGTGACGTAAATAATTTGTAGTTAATTGTTCGTAAATTTACAACTAAAGAACCACGACTTTCAAGGTAAATTAGTTGTACATTGACGACTAGCAAACATCAATAGTGGATGTTCAGTCGTAAACTAGAGACCAATTTACGTCAAAACATAATTTATATTAATAATTTTAATTTTAATTTACAAAAATAAAAATAAAAATATTTTAATTTTAAAAATTTATTTTTGTTTTAAAATTTGATAAATTAAAAAGAAAACATATCAATCATATTTCATAAACATAAGATCCATAATCTAAAAATATTCAAAATACCAATTAATATTAAAACCAAAAAACTAAGTATTAAGGTTTATTTCGTCCAAGAGATCGGAAGTATGTTGGGCCGCACGTCGCTCTAAATCCACCTGCTCTTCCAGAGTGGGGTCGGTGTTAAATCTCGGGCGTAGAGTCTGCCATGCAGAGGCAACATGACGGGTTCGGGTTCAAGTTCTCCATCATCAGATCGAACATATTTGCCATAGCCTTAAATTTGTCTTCATGCTCGTCTATGACTCGGTTGGCAGCTGCCAAATCCCTCTGGAGAGAGGAATCTTTTTCTATTCTTGCAGTGTGTTCAGCTCTCGCCCTCGGAACATCGTTGACAGTCCGGATCCCAACTATACGTCCTATTTTCTTTGGGACAACCTTCAAATGAAGAATGAATATTCATATAAACAAAAGATCGAATATTTTACCTGCTCAAATTTTTTGTCTTGCTCGATGGTGAAAAACTGCACCGGTGGACCTTCCGGATTTTGTTGCGACAGCTGAGTCTGGACCTCCTCGATCCGAGTCTCTACTTCGTTGTACATCTTCTCTGCTTGAGGGTGCGCAAAAGTGCCATCAGAATGCTGGTGTGTTATCTTGTAAAGTCGGGCGAGAGATGGTGGTGCTCCTTCTATGGCAGCCTATATTAAAAAAAATAAAATTAATTAAATTTGTGCATTCAATAATTTAATAAGAATTAAGAAAAATCAAAGATTTACAATTTGTAGTGCTCTCCCTTGTCCGGGAGTATGAGGTACTGGCGGGTTACCATCATCATCAAGGGTCATCCGGACAGCAGAGTACTTGGTAGACTTCTGTACTGATTTTACCCTTCACTTCTCCTTCCAATCACCAACAATGTTCTTTAGACGCGCCATCATCTTTTTGTAGAACCCTGCCTTGATCTCTTCGTTGACACCGATAGACCAATTTCATTTTTGCTACACAAAAATTATGAATAAAAAACTTTAATTATAATTAATAAAACTATTAATTCAAATCAATAATAAATAAAACTATATTTAAAACTAACCGCGAAACACTTGAAGCAAGTAACGCGAACATGGTCCGGTGTAAGAGACCAGCTCGGATATGCCCTGATGATATCCCCAATGCTCTGTCCAAAAACATTATCCATCGCAAACCTATAAAGTTTGAAAGAATATATTTATATCAATATATATTCATTAATTGTTAAATATTTATAAAATTTAAACTGAATTTAATTTATTAAAAAATTACCAACATATGCCGGATCGTCGATCTGGATCGATGATTCGTAAACCTTCTCGTTCCGGCATCTAGAGAATGTCTTCCACAATATATCTTGCATATGGTGCATTAGGCGGCACCATCAAATCTAGATGAAGAGCTGCATGAGCCGGAGGATGATGTGGAGGCTGCTGATGAGGCTACGGTAGAAAATGCTGCTGAGGCTTCTGATGAGACTACGGTGGAAAATGCTGCTGAAGCTGCTGAGACTGTTGAGGCTGCTGATCATACATACGGAGGCTGATGTTAATACTGATGTTGGTCCTGCACATATGGAAAGTATCCAGGAGAATCTTCATATTGCGGATAGTATGGAGCTTCATGAGGGTCGTATGCTCACTGATATATGGTGTTTTTGACATCTTGTATATATGTTTCCTTAATTGTTTTCAAGTCTTTATCGAGTCTTTCTAGTTCTTTTTGAGTCATTACAAGACTGGAGTAGGTAAGGAGACCTTTGGAGAGACACATGAAGAAAAGAAGGAATATTGGAAGTTTTTTGTCGCAGAGCATCCGAACGGAGCAACCCCCTGCCTGCTCCTTCTGCGCGAGAGCACTCTAACGGAGCAACCCTACTTGCTCCCAAAAATTATGGAAACTTCTAATTAATTTCGGGATTTACCCTAATCTTTCTAATTTTTTCTCCCATCTGCCTGTGGCCTTAAGACATATTCATTTCTATTTTTCCTAGACAGACTACGCTTCTTTTGAGAGAGAGGAAACTTTATAACTTTTGGATATTGTGATTTTGATACTTGTAAAGGGAGAAGATCATCTCTCTCGATTTAGAGAAGAATCCTCTGAACCCTATTTATATTTTATCTGCAATAATATTCATGTCTTCTTCATCTCTTGACTCTGTGTTCTCTGTTGTTATAACTGAGTAGTCGATCTTGTTAGCCTAGGGTTCTAGGGTGTTGATTCATGAACTGAACATAGATAAACTTCATCTCTTTGTCTTCGTTTATAGCTGCTCTTAATGATAATACTAATCTAATCACTTAGTGTTTGAATCTAGGTNTTATAACTGAGTAGTCGATCTTGTTAGCCTAGGGTTCTAGGGTGTTGATTCATGAACTGAACATAGATAAACTTCATCTCTTTGTCTTCGTTTATAGCTGCTCTTAATGATAATACTAATCTAATCACTTAGTGTTTGAATCTAGGTTTAACCTTTTACCATTAACCATGAATTAGGTTGCTAGATCTGTTATAAACGTGCATCATATCCTTGATCAGCTAGAGTAGATATCAGGGTGTGATGTGAGCATATAAGGTCTGTGCTTAATGTTTGCTGTCGAGCGTTGATCCACGCGAGAGCATAGGTTTCATTGCTCCCCCGCGAAAGGAGCATACCTGCGAGAGCAGGGTGTTCTAGTTAAGAAATCTGAGTTCTAGACTGTTCTTAATTGAGCTTGAATAAATATTTGGTTCATCATGTTAACACCCAATGAAGCACCCTAAGCTAGCATTATTCATCATCTGAAAACCCCAATCAAATCTGTTACTTTCTTGTTTATTTTCTTACTTTATAAACCATTCATTATCTTAGCTTAATATTGATCTCATAGAAATAAAGTGTAAGATTTAGTCTCTGTGGATTCGATCCTAAAGTGCTACATCGACATACCATTCAATTGTGGTAGTGTGCACATTAGGTTAATTGGTGTGCGTGTACACGTAATATCAATTTGGCACCGTTGCCGGGACCATCTTTTTACCTTTATTTTTCGGTTATTTATTTAGTCTAAAACCTCTAACTTGCTCTTTTGTCTTTGTTGCAGGTACACTCAGCAACCAAGAGCTCGCAAGTTTAGAAAGAGAGAACAGACAATAGCTCATGCCAACCAACACCACCATGGGTGATCACGGTCATCAGGATGATCTCACTGCATCAATGCAACTGATGCAACATCAAATGCTCCAGATGCAGCAGACCATCCAACAA